GTGTGTGAGCCTCTCTTTGAAAATCCCCCCTCTCTGTAATAAAGAGAATTAAACCCAAGCAGAAAGAGAGCAGAGCCTCCTGCCTACTTTGGATGGATTGAAATATGCCCAGAGCTCCCTCCATTTTAATCTTGCTCATCAAAAGATGGCTGAGTTACTCCAGCTGGCAACGGCTCCCAAACCAGCATCCTTCTGCCAGGCGGCCGGGGAGCGGGGACCCCCTTCAGCCAGCAGAGCAACCAGCACCACTCCTCACTCCTCAGAGCTCCCAGCCACGCTGGGATGAGTTCTCCTTTCTCCCTGCAACCCCCGGGCTTCGTTCTTCTCTCCTGCAAGCAAATACACCCACGTTCAGCCCTCTGCAGAGATGCTCCTGCCAAGCTGGGCTTTGTCTGGGATTAGCCACCGCCGGGCAACGGGGGATCTCGGGCTTTGATGCAGGCTGATTGTTTTTTTGGCTCAACGGGGGAAGGGGGTGTCCGTGTGCCCCCAGGAGCGCTCCTATCTGACCAGCCATTTCTCCAGGAGGATTTGTGGAGGTTTCCAAAATGCCTGAAGCCAACTATTTGTTATCTGTATCTTGGGGTTATATTAAGGTGGGTTTAAATCCCGGAACGGCTGCTTTCTTTTGTGCTGTGTTGCTCGGATAAAACCTCGCTGAGGAAAAGGGGCTTTTAAAATGGTTATTTCTGTGTACTGTGTGGGGAGAGGTGCGTCTGGACTGTGCATGCAGTGTACATATGTGCTTTTTTTTTCCCCTCTTTTGGGAATTCTCTGTCGTGGGATAAAATGATGCTGCGATGAAAACGCGTGATTAGAAAATTAGGAGGCTGGTAGCGTGTGCATCTGGGGGAGAAATGCCTGAATCCTGCATTTTCCTGCCACGACCTGAGCAGGTCTTTAGATTTATGGCATATTTCCCCTCGGTTATGTACTGAACATAGGCAGTTGTCTTTTACTTGCATAATTCAAAATGGAGCAAACTTAGGAAACGCAGAACAAAAGGAGGGTGTAGGATGTGGGGTTTAAAAGCAGTGCAAGAATGTGATCGTTCAGAGAGAGGACCCGAAGCGTTGTCTTCTCATTTGTTACAGCAGAAACTAAAATGCATCTTCGGGGGGAATTAATTCTGCAGTTTAGTGTCCTAAAAAGAAATACCTCATCATGATGCTGCTGGATAGGATCTAAATGAAACCGTATGTCACCGACTCCATTCAAAGCTCTCCAGAATTTTGCTTTTCACATCTTGTCTTTGGACTTGTGCTTGTGCTGAAGCTGTATGCGTGTGGGGGGAGCACTCAGAAAAATGCCATCTTGGTCTCTTTGCTCTCCCCCTCCCAGTTCAAGAGGATGCTGACCCGGGAGCTGACCCACCTCTCCGAGATGAGCCGCTCTGGCAACCAGGTGTCCGAGTACATTTCCAACACCTTCCTGGGTAAGGCATCTCCTCCCTGGGTAGAGCATCTCCTCCCTGGGTAGGGCATCACCTCCCTGGGTAGGGCATCACCTCCCTGGGTAGGGCATCACCTCCCAAGCTTTCGGGTGACCCAGAGAGATCAATCAGTGCCATCCCCATCCCCAGCAGTCAATACTTGCGCTCAGTTTTCCTTCGGGGCAGAGTGTTTCAATGATTTGATTTTTCCCATCCAAAACGGGGAGGAAAATAATGCTGTGTTTGAATTAAGTGTGTCCAGAGCAGAATCCCTTCTCCAAACCCAAAGGGTTCTGCTGTTTGGGTTGAATGAAGCTGTGGGTAGCTGCGTTATGCAATATTTGATTTTTGCCTTGACCTTACATAAAGGACAAAGTCACACGAGCCCAGCTGCACACTCTCATCTTTGCAACTACTGCCTCATCCAGCTGCAACATCCCCCTTCAGAGACAAGGTTCAGAGAAGTGACTTCAGCCCAGACATTATTTTATAGAGTAGACAGTGGCTCAGTTTGCACTGGAATTCTGAATAAAGAGTAAAGAGAATATTCTGCATGTCATTAGTTTGGTTGGAACTACTGGCATGAATGAATCCTCTGTGTTTACCCAGTACACTTGTTATGAAAAATGTAGCTTTCTGTTATGAAAAATGTAGATTTCTGTGTTTTCGAGCAGCTATCCCAATTCTAAATTCCAGAACTCAAGCCCATTTGCATGGAAAGCAAAGCTCAGCACAGCACCCTCCTGTATTTATCTCTTAAGTCCAACAGCTTCAGATGCTGAGGGCACGTGGGATGCTGGAGCTCGTGGGGCACTCGTGCCCTGTGGTTACGATGGCCCAGAACACATCCCCTCTGTGACACACAATTATCCCCATTAAGGGATTTTCAAGTGATTTCAATAGCCAGTTGCAACTGGAACTGCTGCATGCATTTAGGACACATCACATCATTAATAATCCATAGAAGTCTAGAGCTGCTTTGTGGGAATCCATTGGTCCTGTCTTACTACTCAGTTTAATCGTGACATGCGGAGCGTGAATTAATCCAGGGAGTAGAAGCAAGGCTGCCTCACTGCCAGCCAGCAGGCCAGGGCTGCAGCCAGAGAGCCTGGGGCATACACAGCACACTGGGGAGCGTGACCACCACGGTGCTTTCAGGGAGTTTGTTGTTCATCAGCTCTTGCCAGCAGGCATAT